CTTCATGTGTACATACTTCCCTCAATCTTAAAAGATTAAACAAGACACGTGCCACATGTCTGTTTCCGATTTTTGGAATAATAAGCGTACTGTGGCTCTCCAGGTGGACAATGTTAAACGATCGCAACTGAATTAAAGGTGTCGGCACATCATTATTAATAATTCAATAGTGTTACTTGAGTTCATTCAACCACTCTGTCATAACCTTACACATTGTAATTCCTACACAGGTAGGGTAGAAAGACGAATACACATATTCACTTTTGGCTTTATTGTTGAATGTTCGCCCAGGCGAGGAAGGCAATGGGATCTGTCCCAAGGCGGTGATATACTAAAGTCCTTTAACTTGTACTTGTTAAGTCCTTTAAATTGTACTTGTTATTTTCTGCCTAACATTCAGTTTAGGGTCATCGCATCGACTAGTCGCTAGTTTACCTGTTGTAAATAAAATGTGACCGGGCAGAATGCTGTGCTTTATGCATTCGGCATGGCATTTCAGTGAGGTAGCACTATAAAGTACGCATCAGATTCACGCTCTCACAAGAAAGCAAATACACAACCATACCCTGACACCGGCACACATACACACATGCACGCATACACAACACACATGGAGGCACGTCCTCAACTGGCCGTTGATATGACGTTTAACCCTCCAGAACCAACTAACCAACCTAACATATACCATCAGTGAAATAATGCCGTTGTCCGGACATTTCAAATATGGGCATAAAGACGTTGATGGATTGCTTTAGCACACGTTATTTGAAAATATGTACATTTGTTATGACTGTAAAGGTCACAAAGATTAAAACATATAAGACAATTGAAATACAGCTTGCAGTCGTTTTATAAGTTTTCTGAAACTCGTGATGAAATACATCAACTCGTCATTATCTGTTTCAAATATTATTATTCCGTTAGTGCAAACAGGTCACGAATACGAGGCAAAGTCTTTCGATAGCTCAATCTGTTTGATGTTTAAGAACAATTTTGAAGGTGTTGATTAAGTTTAATCAACAACTGATGTTCGCCAAGGATCTGGTCCATTGTCTTTCTTTTATAGAGACTTGTTTTGTTAATGATTGTTACTTAGTGGCGACCTCATTGAGACAACATAATCAACTCCACGGTATTATGATAACGAGGTAACCATATTTTCCTTTGCTACCTACAAAAAGTGAGGTCTCATCTGATGAAAAGGGGCAACAAACTAATTTTGGTTTCTCCGAGGTCACTTAAAAAGACAAAATTTACGCATTCTGCAGGAGACCAACATTAGTCGCCTCATAACATTTAGCGATGGGATACCGCTATATCTTTCTCCGAATGTTATGCCTGGACATTCTTGTTACATAAAAGTTCATTGTATTCTTGCGACCAAATAATGCATTGACTTAAATTTATGATTGGCTTCGTGTGTTCCGATACAGTCCAGAAAACGTACTAAAATGTTATTCAGACAATTAAAACCCATCACTGAAATACGTACGTGCATTCACCCCAATTACGTACTGTTTATATTACAAATAATAATCTTAATAATAATGAGTAAAAACCACTTTGATAAATATGCTAATTCATTTCTGCAGCATCCAATTCTATATTAAGTCAAATTGTTATAAGTGCAATGCATAGTATTGGTCATCGTATATATTTATTTTGGGTTTTACATTTTTATTTATCAGCTATGGTCATATATAGACGGGGTGTACAGGTGATGAGATAACACAAGTGTGATTTACTGCAATGTCACAACTCGTACAAGGTAGCATATTTCACTCACTTATGCTGTTTGCGTGACCCTTTTTTCGCGGTTCCAATACAATAATTATCATTATATTAAACATGACGAATTTTCCTGTACATGTACGTTATTTTAGTAGAATTCAGCCTCATGTTTTACAAGTTATATATATTGCAATCACATTTTAATTTGCCGCGCTGTTCAAAAATTGATTACTTCGCGTTTCTTTTGATCACGTGATATTGTTCACGCACAGACATATTGACACATCATTAAATTTGCGTTGTAGCAGTATTGCTTACTTTAAAAATTCTAGACGACTAACATCCTATTGTTAAACTTATCTGATTATTTTTCCATTGAAACGTCTTGTCCAGCTGAGTAAAATGCGGAAAGGATTTGAAAATCTATTGGAAACACACTCAAAGACTTGGAAAGCAACATTAAGTGAAGCAATGCAGCACATTCTGTATCTGAGTAAAGCCTTTGTTCTACTCTGATGGGCATTCTAATTAACTTGGCAAATCACTTTGTAATGTTACGATTGGCACCACAGTCCTGCCTCAGGCCGGTCTCTGGATGTCACGCCAGACCCATTGTAGACGTCTGGGGGACAATCAGCAGTCTCAAACACGAATCAACATAACAAATAGGTGTAAGTCTGATAGAATGTCACTTCGTGTCCCGATCGTTGTATTTTTAGAATATTAATTTTGTTCCGATTCATTGTGGAAACATGTGCCTCTGGCTATTGGCACTGTAATGTATCTTTTACAGTTTAAGTCACACCATATAAATGTGATGATTTTGTCCTAGGTTTAGAATGCTTATATTTTCTCACATACAGTTTGTTTTCCTGTTTATAAATGATTATTTTAGCATCTCTTTAAATTGTGTATCTATCATGTATTTCCCGTTATTGTTTTTATTGTAATTACAGTCATACCTTGAAATGTCAATTGCGTCGTTGATATCAGATACAGCGCATACAAATTGTTGTACGCAAAAATGAAATAGATAAATCTATCCGATTTCACGTACATTGCTTATTTCAGGTTTATGTTTGTGTTTTGTTTAAGCTATAATTTCCCCCTTGATACATTTTTTTAAAGAAAATAACCTTGAGTCAGTATTGAGACATTTTGTAAGTACAAACACCGCCTAACGTACATAGATATTGAGTAAGATGATCGACTGGAATGCGTCCACTAATCAACATAAAGAATGGCCTTATAACTAAATTAACATACACTATTTCCATTCGATCACAAAGTTGCATTGCAATCATGCAAACACACTCTGAGTTTGAATGAGGATGATGGCCGTGAAGGGGGCTTGGTCGGAATATGTCGGCCAATCGGATGTGTACTTTCTGTGTGTGTAGATAGAGCCGTGCCCAGATGATTATTTTACATACTAGTTTTGTTTTAATCATCACAATTCTATTTATAGGTGACGCTAGGCTATTATCCGACCTAAAATGACACAAAGTAAAAATGAAATATCCCATTTTACCGTACTAGTGCTATGTCTTTCATTACATTTTTACCTGATTTAGTCTTTTCTAATCAAGTCAGTAATTGGGTCATATATAATTAAGGTAGGAATATGTTCATTCATGTTGTCTCTAAAGCAACAAATTAACAATAGAAGAGTTTCATTAGATTAGGACACTCTAGCAGCAAAGACTGGGTTTTAATTAAGTACAATTGAACCTTTTTGCTGTGTAGAGCTGTATGATTTTGTTGTTTGAACGTGAGATAAATAGAAACAAAAATAATGAAAAATTTCTTGAAACCCCTACTCTTGATCAATGTAAATACAAAAATAGAAATACTTCATAAAAAGGTGTTTCTCTCATACAATGATAATGTACTGATTTACGAGTTTCCTCTTTAAATAAGTGACCACTACGAACCTTTTCTAAACAACCATCTTTTCTCTCAACAAACACTTAAAGTAACGTATTTATATGCTTTTGATTTCATTATTTGCAATTTCAGCGGAGAACATCTTAAGTATGGTAGTTGCCATATTTGCTACGTTTCATGATTTCCCCTTGCTGCTCTATGTGTTAAATCAGGCGCCACTTGACATTAGTAGGATCAAATTAGTGACCTTGATAGGTAAACAACAGAGAAATTACACTAGATTTCACAAAACAGGAGAAAAATCATTTATTTTTTATAAATTGAACTATGGTCTATTTCGTAATGCTTTTGGGAATGATCAATACACCTTTGTATCTCAAGGAAACATACTATACATACTTTATTAATCTTTCTTATCATAGAAGTTCTTTATGTCAATATTCTATCTATTTCGCACAACCTAAAAAACAACAAATAACAAAAGCAACACAAAATAAAGAAACAATCAAACACATGGGAAACTTCAAAACAAACGTTCTGGAAGTTTTGTCTGTATAGCACCAGCATATCCATAATCCAACTCACTGATATCCATCGCTGTACCACTAATGCCCAAACTCGTGTAAGCTAAGGCATAGTTTCTGATTCCTCCGATAATCAAACGATCTGCGGTCGAACTGTTTTAGATGTGGTATTATCGCTGCCTTACGAGTTCAATTTGCAGTGTTTTCATTCAAAATGTGTTTGAAATGAGAGCCATTATTATTCGTAAAATCTTTACCTGCTAGTAAGTTCTGTAATATAACGATATTAAAACAAACATGTTGCAGAAGTTTCCGCATTTAGTCGATGTACATCGGTTGCAAGAACTTGAATGTTAACTATATGTTAACACGCGCTCTGTCAGTTTGGCAGATTTAATACGAAGAGCTTGTGTTAATTTGAACTATTTTTTATACCGACACTCATCAATCCCAACACAAGTTTATCTGGTCTTATCAGTTTCCGAAAGAACATTTGAGTTATGTTTCGTACCGTTTTAGCACTAATAGATGATCGGACAAAACACACAACAACAACCCTCTCGCCTTGGTTTCTAATTAAGATGTTTCCATTCGTTTAAATAGAACGAGCATTCCCAAACCAAAAATTACCAAAAATTGAAAATTAACAATTAAAGCGTCATTTCAACGGCTCTTGGAGAGGGAGGGGTTGTGACAAGGATTTAGTTAATTCAGTAAATAACAGAACCTCATTTACAATGTTGTCAAAATCCGACCATGTTTTTCAACAGTAAGTATGACAAAATAGTTTACGTATTTAGAGAAGTTTATACGTACATATTGTTCTATTTCACTCTTGTTTGTTTTGTTTCTTCGCAGGCTGTGTCATTAGACAGACAAAAACGGGCGCCGGTAAGTACTTTAAATCATTTGTGTACTTTTATAGTTTGCAGACTTTTAGTTCTATTAGTTGTGTTGTAAACAAGAAAGAGTGACACATCGTACACACGTATAAGGTTCCAGTGCCACTGCGACAACAGAACACTACCCGAGGAAGAGCCATGCTATCTTATCTTACATTTACATCATAATGGTGTACCTTACTTTCTATCTGTTGTAACAAAAGTACAGGTTTTCCACCTAGAAGCTTTGTCCAGGACAAGTCGGTTGCATTTTACTTACTTTTTATGAAATTTAATAAACCGAAAGCTTACTTTTAGTAACTTAGTAACTTAGTAAAAATAATCAAATCCCATATGGTTGATAAGACAGTATGTGCATGTTTGAGCACAGATCGCATGCGATCTCATTGGCGAGGCACTGAAATTATACTTAGTTTTGACACATATCTGCATGTTTGCACCATGATTTGTTTTAAGCAGCCTGTGCGCAATTAGTATATTCAGTGATGATTGCTGAATACAAGGTGTGGCAGTACTTTTAGGATAACGTTATACAGTTTTGAGCTGCTTTATTGCTTTAGGGGAGGCAGCATCCCAGATTAGGCCGACGCTCGCAAGAGGTATGTACAATGTTGTTCGCGTTTGTGCGCATGCGTGGGGATATATCTACGTCCTTCCAATTCTAACATGTCCATGAGTATATGACATCTACTAACAATGTAAAGTATCTCCAATGTTCTAAGTGCATCTGTACTAACTCAATTTAATCACCTTTTTCAGAGAGTCAAACTAAAACTATCATTATAGTGATAATTCACTTATCGCTCTGTACAGAATATATGCCACGAAAGATAAGCATCTGGTAACTGTGAAAGTTGAAATTTCGCGATTTATCTTCTCCAACTCTACACTACATTACAAAAATCATGTAGGCGATATTATGGAATATAAAAGTTCACATTTGGCAATATGTTTGCATTCCTAATTTAAAACAAAACTCGAAATAATTCTAGATCGCGAAATTTCTACCGTTACAGTAAAACAATATACATGTACATCACATGAAAGGTAGTTGATAGACTTTTTCTTTTGTCATAGAACATAATTTTATCAAACTCCAAGTATAAGTCATATAAGATACATAAATAAATGGGAAAATGTAAGGTGAACATCTATGGTTATGAATTTTTAAGATTATAGCACTTGTCAGAACAGATAAATGGAACTTTTATTTTGTAAAACTCAGTTATTAGAAATACAGAGACGACGATGGCAGCACCCTCGATTGGGCCGTAAGCGGTCTACGGAAGAATCAGAACTCTGGGTATAATCATGACGTCACTCCATGCTTGCATTACTCTGCTTTATATCAATTCTCCTGCTTTTCACGATGACGGTGGAAAAGGAAACCCAATGTCATCAGAATATCACGAGTGATTGAACTCAATATAATTGTAATAAGTTATATTCACCCAAGCGCAAAATGAACGTTCTTTTCAATACGGTTAGATCGATATCGGCTACTGCGCTAGATTCCCATTTTTATGAATGATACATTTCTATTATATTAACAAATAAATGCAATCCCCAGGTCTCCTGCGTTTTGTGACGATGTTACTCTCATCTATATGTTTCCATCTATACACCATCCTGTATACTATTACATGCTATATATTATCCATGCTTATATCATTTGTCTTGATTATACGTTTACTCGTGTATTTAAGCAATTAACTACTGCGCATGCGAAATATTTCAATGTTTATAACATGTCTTGAAATGATTATCATCTTTGATGTGTTAATAAAATTCTGCAAAATGCCCATTGTCGTGTTTTATATGCATATATCTACTGCTATAAACCATACCTCTTTTCATCTTTGCTATACATATGATATCTATATATTCGTTCTTTTTCCTGGAATAAAACCGTACCTTTTACAGTATAACCATCTCTCCATTCCCATTTGAATATTGGTTTCCTTGTAATCGGTCTTCAAAATGATCGGATATCTATATAGAATGCCAAATATTGTATGAAATCCTAATTAATATATTTCATTTTGATCGGTCTAACAAGCATGCGTGAATCATATACTTAACAACCCATATCTCTTTTTAACATATTAATCTATTAATATCCATTGCTTTCTAAACATGCATGTCGCAATTGATATGTACGTCATCACATATTTTAAGAAAAGTATTATTAATGGATGACAGTTTATAGTGTTTCATGAAATAGGTAAGCATACTAAATAACCCCAAACAGCACTTTCGATTCAAACCCTAATAATTGGTGACTCCGAAACATTCCAGAAAGTACAATTATCTAACATCACGCAATCTCATTTAAAACGATGAGTAGATGTAATTTGAGACCCGCGACGTAAGACGAACATTTTAATATATTGAGAGTGCTATGATATACATCCATCAGTCAGATGGAGCAGGTAAATGTTGGTTAATTAGAAACGGCTCCTGATGTATCTAGACACAGTCTATATTTACATTTCTTCACTAGGTGACAATAATGGGGAATCAAACTGTCAATTAAACAAACATAACACTATATATCGGGGAATGAGTACCACGCTCTATACAAGTGTTATTATATCGGATGTCTACTAAAGGTTTAAGATATTTACTAAGACGTATATAGGTTGTGTTAAAATGCCAGTTTTATTGTAGTTCAAGCAATGGTATATATTATTTATTTGTATTAATTAGAAGGCTGGCTGATTATTTGACAGTTTCTTGTTTTTTTTTTAATGTTTAGTATTGTCAGACTAGAAACGCGTGATATATTGTAATTGTTGAAAAATAATAACTTTGTGACATAATACAAACTTTTACTTATATACTCATTTCACAAATGTTTTGTTTTGACTTTAGCTCCACGAAACTTCTATTTCAGAATACATAATGATATAAATGCAAAATTGACGTTTACTGCTCGTTAATAGAATTGTTAAAAGAAGTTGTTGCATTTGGTGATTCTTTTGCTATGATGTTAGCAAATCAAAACTTCTTATCCGAAATTATTCTGTTTTTGCTGATTTTTTTTTTATTTTTTTATTTAAGTTAGTAAGGATAAGGCTTTTACAGTAGTTGTTTACGTTGTATTTACTGTTGCGTTTGGCGCCGTTTGCAGCAGACAAATGATAGCGTGGGTGGTCCAGAAGCCGTGGATATTGACCCCGCGCTGAAGGAGCAGTACGTTAACCTCTTTGTAGATCTTTTATCGTCTGCCATACAGGCGAACCCGGAACGTTACCAGGTTTGTAATAAACAGGGACGCCATCCTTTTGTCTCTATTGCTTCTGGTTCACCCTTCTTCCGTAGATTTTGTAAAAGTTCTGTAAACCTTCTACCGTTTCTTCGGCTTGGCTAAACTAGCCATAACTGCTATGCTGGTTCCTAAATTCATTCCGCTGGTGGCATCGTATGGTTACAACAGGTGCAGATCTGTCGCATTAGTCTGGAAATCAGTAAAGTTGTCTGTTTTGTAGTAGTTTAGTGGTAGTTCTGACACTTTTTCGTCTTATCTTCTTAGACATGTAAAGTAGTATACCTGCAAGTATTACTTACACTTGCAGTCTGAGATTGTTTATCAAAAACACTTTCTGTACCTTTTTCCACTAGGAGTTGTCTCCCCCTTCCTCTCAGCAGATTCCCGGGGAGATGGTAGACCTTCTGTATCCCATTGCATGTGTAGGTATGAAGCGACCAATATGGGACCTCCTGTAGAATCGAGGGTTTCTTATTTACAGTACAGGACATTGAAAAGAGAGAACAAATATACGCTGTTCCCATAGAAACCCCCTTTTTCTTGTCCACTATTTGTGCTGAGTCTCCTTAGACACCTTTCTTTCGGCTCCCTTAGCTGTTGCGTGAAAAAAGCAATGCAAATAGTTCTTCTTTAGGCCCTTAGCATTTATTGTAATACTCATGACGAAGTTTGAGATTATTCTAACAAAGCTACTTGATGTCTCTGTTTTACTGCTGTTAATTTATGCACTTAACCTGGTTTCTGATAGGTATACATTGGTCACAAAGTCCTCGAGCTGCTCCATTATCTGGAATTTGTTAGCAAATGTAAATGCTTGAATAAAATAAGCGGCCCAGTGCTAATGCTGTCAAACTGGTGTCGTTCAGAGGTATCCTATTTCTTCTTGGCAGTAATTCCATTGTTATCCTTTAAAATAAAACTAAGGACTCATTGTACAACCCTCTATCTTTTCCCTTTGTTTTCAGCTGCATTATAAGAAAGCATGGAACTTAATATTTGTAAAATATTATAAAAGTGATATACAGCTATCAAACTCTTGTTGCACTTATATCATTATATATATGTGTGTATGTGTTTAATTTGATGGTGATGTTATTTATATTGTGACGTCATACAAGTTAAACTGTACACATCAGGAAAATATTAACTGGAATTTGTTTATGATTCAGTCTAATGACTTTTTCCTTATTGCAGGGACAATATCCTGAATCCTATCATTTTCATATAAATTAAATTATATTGTGTTTGCATCATGATGATATCGGTGCAATAACCGTCCTAAACCAAGCGCTGGCGTCCTCTTCAGTATATTTTAGAAACTTTATGTTGACGTTGCAATGGATTGGTGACGTTACCACCTTATGTTGATCTTAATCGAGAACAAGTGATCCTTACTTCATCATTTGATATACATCGGTTGTATATATATATATGTTTTACATATGTTATCAATATTGTTCGGAACTATAATAACGACCTCTAAAGGAATACAAAAGATAAACCCCGTTCTTAAAAGCCCATGTCTGTTTTTTCATACTGATATATAAAACATTATATGCACTTCAGAAAAAGAATTTCTTACATATGGGAAATTTATAATAGTCAGTGATGTTTAAATGCTAGTATCAAGCTAAATAACACATCATTAATGTGTCCTAGTGGCGAATTACAGATTTCAGAATAACTGTTTTCTACTATTAATGTTTACATATACGCCTTACCTGTCTCAATAGCTTCATCCATAACCAAAATATCCAACTTTTAACTGCAGAAGTGTTTGAGCATTCCGACTAAATACCGTGATTTGTATTTTGACAGCCGATTTTCTTGTTTTCAGATGGAGCATAACAATGAATATTCCACTTTTAATTTCAGATCGATTTTTGGACTTTTAAGACATAGTTAAATTCGTTTGTCCCGGTGTTTCCTATTGTGCATTGACATGAGACTATCCATTGACATATAAGATATTTTCAGTTTTGTATTATCCGTTACTGTTTGTTTGTCATTTGCGTGTACGTTATCGATTATTGTCTGTGTCTGTTAAATTATGTCAATACTTTCAATTGAAAAGCTCAAGCAGGAGAAATTTAGTAGAATGGTGTGTTTTGTTAATCTTATATTAATATAATCCTATATCTATTTGTACCTTAATAATTTACTTTTTAGTGTTATGTTTCTGCACCTTGTATACAATCTCAGTTATTTTTGTTTCAGAATGGTATTTATTGAAGAGTAACCTTGCTTTTGTTCTGTTTTTGTAGAACTTTTTAGCATACCCAAGAGGGGGTAGATCAAGTGTGAGTAGAATTTTGTTATGTTTTGTTTCACAAATGATTTTGATTACGACACAAATTTAGGATATGGACAAAAAATCATAAGGTGAACGTTATATTTTTGTTTTCCAATTTTTGAGGAATAAAATAAATATCTGTTCTGTAAGTTCTTAAGTCTTGTGAGGAATTAAGTATATCGTTCGATCTAATTCTACCATAGACAAATATAATAATATATAACACAGTAACGCGGCCAAGGCATTCCTTACTGTTATATTAAATTTTCATGAAATTGATTTAAAATTTAAACACGCATGCTTTACTCATGAGTGGTTTTACTGAAATGTGCGTCGGACGTATGTGATTTCAATATCATTAATCAAGTTGTTTCAATTTTACAGAATCCAATGGCATTCTCCAGGGACGCCCGTGCGGTAATTAACCCTTTTAATTTTAATCTGTTTCAGTGTCGTTCATGTTTATTTTCCTTTGTAAAGTATGCCGCTGTACGTGTATCAGGTATTCAATTATGAAATAACAATTTAACAATTGAATATTCTTTATTTAAATAAGAATGTACTTAAAACGTTGGTCTTTATTTATAAATAAATCATCTAATCAAATTCGCCACGAACGCCTTTACAACTCCTGTAAACTTTACCCCCCAAACATCAGCCTCGAACAGGTCAGCATTGACGTCCGAACCAATTAGGTCAGCATTGACGTCCGAACCGAACCAATGGCGTTTGTGTTGTTAGGTTTGCTATTGCAGACTGAATGAGGTCCCTTTTAAAAAGCATTTAAATGTGGAGTTGCAAGTATTTTCTGAACATGGATTTCAAATATTAGGCATAGCATCCATGTTTCCTCTTCCCTTGAAGCAACTACAGAAAAAAAAAGTTTAAGTAGGGACAGTGATGATATCATATTACCACTATCAGATCAATGATCGTTATCATTGTACTAAGTGTCTACTTCTAAGAAAACTCCACGTACATGTATTTTTGCAGCCTATTTTACATAAGAGGAACAGTATTTTGAAGTTTTGCCTAAGCGAATAAAATCTGCTTGACGTTGATTTTACGGATTCAGTTACGATTGCTACATCTAGAGTAGGATTTGACTTCCATTGTTATTAATCGTGTTCAATTCCTGGATTTCTCTTAGCAAGGAACCGCCGTTGCTGTAAAAAAACTGAATGGAGTGCTGAATATCGTTCTTGATTGTCAGGAATGCATTTCTGCGTTAAATTGTTATCACATCGATCGATGATGTAAATATAGGTCAATTATTCCTCAAGCACACTTTATACAGTTGTTATCGCGAACGCCTATCTCGAATGCAAAGCTTCGCGAACATTTCAAATCGCAAAAAGTAAGCGATTAACATTATCGGTGCGTTACACGTATACGACATACAAATGTTCGCGTTACGCTTCGCCTGTCCTTGTAAGGGTAACTTTTTACCTCGTCATAAAGGAAAAAAGGGTTATCGAGAAAAAAAATCACTTCTTAATTATACTATTCATTAAAAATGTTTTTGCCTGGTTTTTTATTTGGAAAATGTATTTACATTCATGATAGATTAGAAAGGAGAAATGTGAGGTCTTATCTAGAATAACAGAACAAAGCCTCATTTAAATGATTACATCGGTCCACGTAACAAATGACTATAAAGTGAAGAAACAAAGCGTGCTCGTCACCGAGATTCATCATTATGATTACTTTTAAACGACACGTATTTGATTCTGATTCTGTATTTTCTAATAATTCCAATGTAAACTGTTCATTAGTAAATGTTTTATCATGCCAGCAAAAGTTTACGATGAGCGGAAGAAACAAATCTCAAATAAACAATCGAATGCGCATTTTGATTTTGTAAATGACGATGTGGGCGATCATTCACGAAACATTCAATTGTTTTCAAATATGTCGTTACGAAGCCATTAATCCAAAGCACACATTTCTTCTAATTAATTTCTTTTGATTGATATATTAACTGCTGCACATTAAGCAAATCATTATTTAATTTGACTAAAAACCGCATTTATGTATCTAAGAACAGTGTGTATTAACCATTCATGCGACACCGATACTCTTGAAAATCTGTAGCATATGAATGTTTGTATTAGACGCATTCATGATAGGATTAAGGCCTGGTTTTGTTTATTTTGATGAGAAACCATAGACACAGTTTACAAAAAGGATAACGGCTGGATATTACCAACAGTTCAGTGAGCAACCCATTCTGTAAAATCAACAGAGTAAAGTTATCTCACTTTATCACCGAGCTTTGCTTTAGGTCTCTGTCTAATCACAACAACACAGCAAGAGTGTAGAAATACTTAACACGGAGCGGTAATGTTGATATTCCATCTATGATTGAAGTTCCTGGTTTAATTTGCCGCGGAGGGATAATTCACTTTGCTACATGTTCATGTTACGCGCTTCCTAGTGCCAAGGTCAGTTTAGCAATAAGGTGCCGCGTGCATCAACAGATTGGTAAACCATCATGAACAAGCAGTATACCTTCGTACGAGAAATTATATTTCGATTTCATTGGATGATTATAGTTATTTAAAATTCACCGAGGAAAATAAAACATTATATAAATATGACATTCATTAGCAGGTGACAGTGAATATTGTCAACCCAAGAAGACCATTGTCACCCGAGGCGAAGCCGAGGGTGACAATGGGTTTTTGAGGGTTGACAATATTCACTGTCACCTGCTAATGAATGTCATATCTATTTTGTTACACCAAAAGTCAATGTAGCTCAGAAACGGCAGCAAACCTCGATAATGACATCTTGTTTGTTGATAGTCTGCTGTTTACAATCGCTATCGCACCGGCGCTTGATGAAATTGGCTGTTGCCGTCAAACGTTCTTGTGACCATCACGTTGGGGAAACGAAGCGGTGCACGCACATTTTTTGCGCATGTGATATTTTTCACTGTCTCATGGCAATATCACCCGCGCCCCTTAAAACCAATGTATTTTCGGAGTGTGACAGAGATTTTTGTTTAATTTTCTCCCAACCAATCAAATAGCTAGAAATTCACTTGAGGTGTAACAAATACAAATATTCTTTAAGAATGTCTAACTGAAATTTAACGACTTAATTAAATCATTATTGGAAACTATCTCTAATTAAGGAATACAATAGAATCGGATGCAGTGGTATCGTTTTATGATGTGCCAAGAAATGAACCCTAAACTTAGTACTTACCCTGGAGTATATCGTATATCAAATTATTACGTTCTACACAAATAATGCACGTACTGGTCCCCATGTTTAATGAGTCTGTTCTCTCTGTATATGATTTGAATCTTACACATGAAACGATGTTAAATTCACATCTTGTGTTTATTTGGCAGACTAATATAATATGATATACTGGTAACATCTTACCACTCCTACGAGAAAACGGCAAAATATTATTTCTGACTATTTCAAATGTTTATCAACAACCTGTATGGGACATTTGACGACATATATCAATTTATTTCTAATCCGATACTTCGGTGATTGAGATGACACCTGTAATCTTACATTCAAATGATTTTTTTTTACATTTTTCATGACATAGCTCTTTCACATATATACATGGAAAAGATTATATTATACTTTAATATTTACTATTATCTCTCCTAACTATAATGCTGATTTTCTAATATTCCATTTTTCTATGTGGTATCAGTGATTCCATTCCTTATTGAGTACTCCTCAAAGTTATCAGTACCAAACTATCGAAAATCAAATTGCCATTCGTAAATACATTAAAGACATCTTTCTTGAAGACAAAATCTCATGGAAAGGAACGTACCTCCACAAGGTTCGACAGGTAAAGTGCTTGATAATCAACCATCATTGTATAATTTCAGATGTTTAGTTACCCAAGGCTAGGCCGGTCCGGTGCTGGATTCCCGGCTGATGTATTAGATGGTCTTGGTTGCTGTAACATGGGCGTCAAATCCATCAATGGTATGGCGATGTGCTCCGCCAGTGAGTGTTGTGAAGGTCTACAAGAGTACCGGGACGTCAAGAAACCCTTTATGTTTACTCTTTGCGTATGGGATGTAAGTAATTAAGTATTCATCCGTACTTTCTGTTCCTACATATACCACAGAAGCTTCAGGTCCCGATTGTGTTCCTCAAAGGAAAAGGCCTAAAAAAACGTACATGTTTAACAGTATAACTGCCCCTGCCTTAATTGGAGCCAAGCTATACCAAATTCAGTATTTCGTCCCTAGAGTTCCTCCCTCATATGATGTATGTCTATTGCAGATCCCTTCAACCCTTGAATCTGGCATTTGTTTCCAAATTTATTGAATGAAACATAGTTTATACTTACCCTATTAATTCTGATGTTTCTATCGTCTTCGATCAGCTACAGATAAGCAACTTAAGTATTTACGGTCGTTAATTACATGTTTTGTTGAGTTTCATCAAGTATTATTATAAAACATGGAATGTCTCTGTATATTTGGTTTTTAATACAACACTTTATTTAAACATACATATTAACTTACGCATACATACATATATGTTAAAAATCTTTCACTATTTACCGGCCCATATTTCGGTCCATATGCTATTCGATAGTTAAAGGTTTATGCTGTACCATAAGATTCAATGATAACGTGCGAAATACTTATACTTTAAATTCCAATTTCAAAGGAATTCAAGCTTTGTTGTCTTTGATAAATTATTCCCTCATATATGTTACCTATTATTATATGATACGTACCAATATTGATAAACGTTTTCAATTGTTTTGCATGTAAAAAAAGCACAGGGATATGATAAACCTGATAATTTGGCATGACAATTTTATTATTTTCTTTTTCTATACTTTTTTAGAACTCTGCCGAAGAGGACAAAGCGTGATGACTTGTGCTTTTAAAGCTGCTAAATCTAATTGGTAGCCTTTTTATATATAGTTCTACAAATAGAAAGCAACCAAACCTCACATCAAGAGCCCTTCAATTTCATTTAAAAGACAAACTGTTATTTCATTGCACCGTTTGCATTCAAAAAGGAACAGAGAGATTATTGCTGAGGAAAGCGATGTGTTCCATATGGACAAACGAGTTAATCAGTTGGTTGTGTAAGAGCTTGTTTTTTCCCGTCAATGAAGATCTCAGCAACAACGTAGCTTTGCTACCTGGCTGCTATATAGCTAACCCGAATCGTCTTAACAATGGGGCAGATTATTAGTTAAATCTTGATACACTTGGAAAATAATTTTCGTTTTTGCAGAAATAAATATAATGTTTTTGACATGTTTTTTGCCTTTTCCTTTCAATCTGACACCCATTCTGTGTTAACGTTACGCACCTAACATCGTCAACTACAATGCAGCCTTAACGACTCGTACTCCCGAGCATCCAACACATTGGAATAGTAGCTGTATGGTCTATAATCAATACGTTGTTCATAATTCGGAACTAATTGATAAAAAAACACAAGAGAATGACGAGACGAAATTTCAATCAAACCATTATTCGAACTCAAAATCCAAACTACTAGGAGAAAATATGAACAGAGGATAATATTTACAAGGAGACCCTTGTAAGGTTATCAGGAGAACAATACCAGGTGTTCCGGAAGGAAAATCTTATTCTGCTTTATTGATGACACCCGCAATTTGGGTGCAAGTACCGCATTTTCATGGAAGGATATGAAGCGAAAGGAAACATATATAACATCTCATTTAGACATCATAGCTGATATTATCAGTGTATTCATTATTGCAAATATTCATCAAAATTAAACCAGAAATGATTTACATCCTCGCTGTGTCAATCTAATTCAGCAAAGAGGTAAACTAAGTGTTTAAAAAAAACGAGGTGACGTAAAGATCGCTAATGCGACTGAAATGTGTTTAGTATACATATTTTAACCTTTGTAAGCACTAATTTGGTGCACATCAATAGATTATATTTTCTTGCCATATACATCTCAGTATATCAATATGTCCTTTTAAGTTGTTAAACGTCGTTTACATTTGGTATTTAATAACATATTTTTATATATTTTAAATAATTTATTTCATTTATGTCAAGTGGATAAAAAAACGTTTCAAGAACAAAATATTTACAACATGCATGGCAACTATCTTGTGAACCCTTTAACCGGTAGTTGGAAATGTAGTGCTATCATTCAGATAAATACCTACTAAATTTCGACCTGGCCTTGGCGTGCTATCCTGAAAAAGACGTTGCAGATTACTGAAAGATTCGGTCACATTTTAAAATTTAAATTTATCAGTTTTGAAAGAAATTGACCAATATCTGAATTTCGAGCAATACATACCACAGCCACCATGTATGATGGTTGATTGAAAAATTAATCATAACAAAACTTATGCATATCAACATATTTATAGCAATCATTTTTAAAGTTTTATCAGAATCCGTCAAGTAGTTTCTAAGAAATATGAAAGAAAAACAAACAACAATAAAGAAGCAAGCAAGAAAAAGCAAAACAAAATGAACAGCATTTGAGCAAGAACAGAAAAATAACAGACCTATCAAACAAAGGGGAAACAATACCGGAAAGTTCATCATTTCCTAATATACCTGTGACATCCATAATGACTTCTCCTGTCATAACATTCAAAGTTTTCATTCATCAATAATAATCAACCTGTCTTTATTCATTGTAGATACTGATTACTTTTCCTACAAAAATATTGACGTGTACTAATCAATTAAAGGTGTTGTCTTCCTTCATGTTGTTTTAAGTGTTTACTCATTACTCTGAGTAGAAGTTGAAAACCATAATTAAACACGTTTACGGCGGCTCAAAGTCGATAAAGCCGAAAAGACAAAGCATGTATGAGTGAACCAGGAAAACACAATTGCAAATACATAAGCAGTGTAGATAAACAATAACAAATACATAAGCAGTGTAGATACACAATAACAAATACATAAGTAGTGTAGATAAACAATAACAAATACATAAGCAGTGTAGATACACAATAAAAAATACATAAGCAGTGTAGATAAACAATAACAAATACATAAGCAGTGTAGATAAACAATAACAAATACATAAGCAGTGTAGATAAACAATAACAAATACATAAGCAGTGTAGATAAACAATAACAAATACATAAGCAGTGTAGATAAACAATAACAAATACATAAGCAGTGTAGATAAACCCCGTATGATAAACCATTCAAGCGAACAGACCCCAATACCATACCTTGAATATACCTGGTATATTGCACAGTTGTCGATAAAGCCATATTTGTATTGATACTTCAATGAGATATTAGGCAATTGATAGATTTCTTTTATAAAGCAAGTATTATATGCAGTAAAAGTGGAAACGTTTGCGTGATGAAATGTCTACGTTGTGACCCCTGACACTCCGCGTTGTGACCCCTGACACTAATAGCGGTATGGATATGTCCGCGTTGTGACCCCTGACACTAAATGCGGTATGGATATGTCCGCGTTGTGACCCCTGACACTAATCGCGGTATGGATATGTTCGCGTTGTGACCCCTGACACGAATCGCGGTATGGATATGTCCGCATTGTGACCCCCGACACTAATCGCGGTATGGATATTTTGGCGTTCTGCAATCTCTTTATTGTTTTTATCAACATAATTTATAAATAGATATTGGCGTGTTGATATTTTCGCGTGTAGATCTTTTCGCTCTAATTTTCTAAAAGTGAAAAAACTTAAACATTTCCACACCACAAAAATGTCGACTTTACAGTAGTCTCTACAGAGCAAAGTTAACTAAAGTAAACATCAATTATAGTATAATATATACATCAACAGTAGGTTGCTGTATAGACACGTGTAATTATATATCAACATATCACAACATAACACGTCATTTGTTCCTGATTACTATGAAAAGTAATGATATCTTTCCAAGAGCAATTAACAATACATTGATGACATTATTTAACGACATAAAACCATTACAAAAGATGCGATTGATGTCCATCACCAGCCACAAAAAAATCCACTTGTACGATAAACAATTTATTATTTTCGGATACATATTTTCATCAATGTAATCCTTGTAGTCGACTACGACTAGCATTTGATGCACAAATAGAATAATATGGTTGGCATTTCGTTAGATAAAGATTGTCGAAATCTGTTTAAAGGACACTGGTGACACACCGATGGCATGTTTAATGAAATGTAACAAAAAGGGAGGAAAAATACTTAAGAAATAATATGAGTAGCAGCTAGAATTGAATGTAACAAATAAACCGTATGAAATCAACAAAAGGATTAACTGTTAATTGCAAGCATTAATTTGAACGAACAACTCAGTCTCTCTTTGCGTTTTCAAAGCATAAACTATCTGACTTTTGGTCAGTGTAGCATGTTAAACGCCCCTCTTACTACTATAAATACTCTATTGAGCCTGTTTAATCTACATTCATTCATATAGACTAGGATTGTCAGGAAATATTTGGTGTTTGGCAAGGAGATGCACTTTGGTCCTTGTACTCTATATCACAGAAAAATGTGTTTTTAAGTAAAAAGGCATTGTGGGATAAGTATGAAACTTTCACAAATCAAATATCATCATATAACTAAACTTTATGCCAAGTTACATGCTTATCCCCAAATGCGTTTTATGCACAATCAGCGGATAAACATTAGAAATAGGCAGATTATTTGATAAAACGGTTAACTTTAACGATTAAAGCAGATACTTTCCTTGCGGCTAGGAGACTTAAAATTACCAGCAAATCAAACTTCATATATTAAATCAGTCATTTTACAGTAGCTGTGGTGGCAAATGCCATTTTTGATTTGTAAGTTAACTTTGATCAATAAAAAAAACAAATCAGGACCTGGAACTCACTTCAGCCCCTCAGGGGTGAGCAAATATTTTATGATATATATAATATGCAATACTAACAATAGATATCTTATACTTATAGCATAAAAAGGGTGTCATGCACCTTTTAATTCACTTAAAATTGAGAGATATTTGAAAAAGCCAAGTTTGAGATGTGTCCAGAAGCCATAACTCAGTATAAAACAAAAGGAAAGTATGTAGTCAATATGCAATTTATGTAAGTCTACTTAAATGAGTGAAGTTGTAAATTTCAAGTCAAAATATTATTTAGAAAGAAAATTATTGAGAAAACAAATTACTTTTCAATTGAAAATGATTGAAAAGGTCCCCCTGACGTAATCCTTCGTTTTATATAAACAATCTTTAAGTGACGATTGAATTTCTGTCATTTTTCATTCTGTTACATATGCTTGACTGATTTATACATGTTTTCAAAAACAGAAATGATTTTATTTTGGTTTTTAAGCTCATTTTGAAAACAGCAAACTATATTTGTGATTTACAATACATGTTTTCAAAAACAGAAATGATTTTATTTTGGTTTTTAAGCTCATTTTGAAAACAGCAAACTATATTTGTGATTTACAATACCCCTTTTGGTACCCCCAGAAACCCATTTTCGGTCAAAGCTTTACCTTAGTTTTTCTGCATGTCATACAATAGGATATCTTTGAACAAAATAAGGAGGTGAAAATCCGAATATACCGGGGCCCAAAAAAGGGCCTTATAGACACCCTTCCTTCCTTTGTTTGTCGATCAACGTTCAATTTCTTTTTGTAATTTCCAGTTAGTAATTGCATGGAAAGCAAATACAAAAACATCTACTCCGTGTTTTTTCAATCCCATTTATGAGTATTTTTCGATAAAAATGATAATAATGCATTTTCTTACACATCTTAGGATTTCAATCTGGACCCTCCCGCTATATACATAACCTATTCCGATTATATGTTAATGGCGAATACTGACAAGCTGAGATACAACTGTTCGGACCTGTGGCTGGTGAATTAAAACATTGCCGACAAACGTGTTCTCGATGGAGGAATCGGGTGTTAATAAACCATAGGGTTGTTCTTTCCGCTGTTGTGTCACAATAGATGGCCCTTTGATTTAATTTGCTTTCGGTATTCAGAAAAGATAACAAAAAGATAACACGACTGTTTTCCCGTAAAGAAGGTACCGATATTCATTCTGTGTATACCCGTAACAAATAAGATAGTCGTTTTCATGTTAATAATATCATTTTGTTGTCTGTTTGGAATTAAAGATCGACATAACACCTAAGTGTTATCTTACAACGGATAAACCAAAAAGCATGAACGGTAGGTGTGCCACGAGAGACACACAAGGAGGCACGGTAGTCTAGTGGTAGGACACCGGGCTCGTGACCGAAGGGTTGCGAGTTCGAGTCACGTCACGGCACTGTG